TTCCTTCCGGGAGGTTCCTCTTGAAATGTAAATACCTCCTCTGCGGCCATGGGGGAACTCAGGACCTGTAACAACAGATGGTTTTGCGCGCAGCCGCCAGGAGAACAAAGATTCCTGGGCTAAGGTAGCAATAAGGTAGTACTTAGTGCGCGCTGAATTCCCGGGGGGATTGTTATCACGAGACAATTGCCTCTCCTTTAGGGGCCCTGGCGTCTTTCTGCAACATCCTCATTGGTAGGGCTTTGTTTTCCACTTTTGTTCAGAGGGCGATTAAATTTCCCAAAGGCTTTTTTTAATCCCCCACCCACCCACCCTTGGCCTTTTTGTGTAGTCAGGAATTTCACCCTTTCAGAAACGGGGAAAAAAAAGTTCAGGTGCAACAGGTTAATCAACAAACTTTGCAGCTGGCTGTCTCCTCATCAGCCTTCCTGGGTTGAACAGAAAAACGCTCCTTCTTAATTGAAGGCTCAAAGAAGAAGCTGCCGGAGGTAACTTGTTGGTGAGGAATTTCTCGGCCTGCAGCCTTGGCTATTTGAGGACTGTGTTACTGGGCAGGAAATGTGGCCTGGGAACCCAGCTTCCACCTCACCCTGCCCCCAGCTTCTGCTGGAGCTGGCCGAGGAAGGTGGCCGCCCCACTGGAGTTAGACTCGGTGTGGTCACCGACCAGTAGGGACAGATCAGGTTGCTTGATAAGGCTTCCAGGGACTTTTTTTAGAGCTGCACTAACTGGCTGCCTGTGCGTTTATGTGGGTTGAGGGAGACTACGACATTAAACAGCAGATTCCAAGAAGGACTACTAGCAGGTATGCAAGGAGTGGACTCATCCACCCTGGGTGCTCAGTGGGCTCTGCTGTCTTCTCTCTTAAAGAAGACCTGATTATTATGAGTCTGATTGGGTTGCTGGCCAGTGAGAGAAAGAGGAGGCATTGTGCTATCTTTAAGATTTACAGACACCGGGAGAAAAGTGCAACAATGAATGAATGGAATTCCAAAATCTCTGTAGATGTTCATTGAAATGAAAAAGAAATAAATTAATTAAAAAAATGCTGAACATAGAAATTCCGTATGACCCAGCTATTCCACTTCTTGGAATATATCCTGAGAAAATGAGGACTGAGGCACAAATAAAAATTTTCACACCAGAAAAAAAAAAGACTTACAGACACCAAACCCTGGAGGGGGACTGGGGGAGGTTCTGCTTGCCTGTGGGGGTCACTGTCAGTCTGAATCAAACACTGGCAGTTTCTGAGAGCAGGTACCATGGAAAGGGCCTTGTTGGTGTAGTGATTAAGCATTGAGCTACTAATGAAGAGATTAAAGATGTAAACCCATCCTCCGTAGTCCCCCAAGAGAAAGGTGAGACTGGGCTCTCACAGATTTGTAGCCTTAGAAACTCAATGGGGAAGTTCTGCTTGTGCTGTAGGGGTTTTATGAGTTGGAATCAACTCCTTGGCAGTGGGTTGGGTTGGGTTGGCTGGTAGCAGGTATGTTGTTAAGAGCCATCGAGTCGACTCCAACTCCTAGCAACCCTATGTATAACAGCTCTGAACCCTGCTTTGTCTTGTATGAGAGTTGCTAATTTCCTCCTGTATTCCTTTCCTAGAAGATCTTTCTAAGCAAAGAGCTAAGGGTAAACCAGACAACCCAAACCTGTTACTGTGACCCTGTAGAACCCCAGCTGACTGGCGCAAGCAGCCTGTCACAGTTTGTCTCATGGAGAAGCTGGGGAGTTTAAATCCCTCTTCTTTTGGTTAGTGGCCGAGCGCTTTAACCAGGGGATAAGTATAACCCACTGCCTGGCAAGTCAGTTCAGAAGTATAGCTATTCTACAGGCCCAGGTGAAAAGGCTCTATAGGATTTCTAGGCCTGTGATTTCTATGGAAACAGGCTGGGAACTTGTTTCTGCTTGTCACAAACAGCCAGCATTCTGATTAGCAGCCTGGGCTTAACCCCTGGTGCCACCAGGGCTGCTTCATGAGATAAGTCTGTCTTGTCTGTCTGTCTCTCTCTCTCTCTCTCACACACACACACACACACAAAAGAGAGAGAGAGACACACACAGGCACGCACGCGCACACACACACAGAGAAAGAGAGATATTGAGAACCCAAGAAAGCTATTGAGTGCATAGCTGATCCTCCACTGGGTTTCAAAGGCTGTGGAAATCACATGAGAGGAGATTGTCTATCTTTATCCTGAGGAGCAATTGGATTTGAACCACCAGAGAGGCAGAGTCTACAGCTTAGGTCAGACTTGGAAACTGGCTTCCCAGAGAGTCAAGCCATGGCCTATTGCTATCTAGCTGCATGACCTTGTGCAGCCTGCCTTTCATTCCAGTGTCTCCTCCTAGCTCAAATACCTTTCTTTCAAAGATAGCTCTACTTGTTATTAACAACAACAAGAATAACAAGAGCTGTTGTTGAGAAGATCTGTAAAACAGAGGAACGAATTCTAGCTTCTCTACCTTATGGGAGTGCTGTGAAAGTTAAAGAAGTTAATGCATTTAAGATGCTTAGAATAGGGCCTAATATGCATCAAGTGCAGCATAAGTGATGGTTAGTGATTATAATTATCATTAATATTACTACTGCTGCAATTCTTCTATTAAATTAGGAAAAACCCCCACCACTGCCATTGAGTGAAATCTATTTT